TTGGACATAGTAACATGACAATACTACCTAAAGTGGCATAATATATGATTTATTTTTAAAAATCCGAATGAAAAATTGTCTCCTGCGGTAACAGTTTCAACCAATCATATTGCACAATTCAAAGAACATCAAAAAGTAAACTCAAGTTTGTCGTTATACCTATGAAACCAACTTTTATGTCTTAAAAAAATATATTCTTCACATAACTTTACTTTATTTCACTAACCTTAAGTGTATTCTTTAACTTTATTTCACTAACCTTAAGTATATTCTTTAACTAACTTTACTAACCTTAAGTATAACTCATGCCGGTGAAAAATTTTAAATAAGAGCTTGATTACTTTTTCTTAATCAAAAAGTGATTGCCTCATTTCTATTTCGTAACTCAAATGCATAAATTTAAAGACTTTTTATAATTAATCTTCTGAGTCAGTCAATACTAATGATGGGCGATAAAATTATTTTTGTAATGACGAAATGTTTGACAATGGTTTCTCCTAACGATTGGTGAAATTATCGACGAAATTAATTTGGCCAATAAAATATAAAATTAAAGCTGCCCCCTACTCAACAAGCTTTTTTATAACGATCTCTAGATATTATGAATCTTAAATATTTTAAAAATTACAGTTATTTTATCGATGTTACATATAAAACATAGTAATTTACTAATCGACAACTAACTTTTTCCTATCAAATCGTCAGTATAAAAAAAATCAACTATTTTATTGAATCTGAAGCAGATAATTTTACTAGGAATGAATGCATATGAGTGTATAGCTTATACGGCAAAATAAGCAATATTAAATGAGGAATTTCTTCAGCCTATCTCAAGCTTACATCTATTGTTACATATTATTTTGTGTTTTCCAAAAAGTAAAAAGTCTTGCCAAAATCTTCTATACCAAAATTCAGTTTTTTTTTATTTTTAATTACGCCAGATCTGAAGTATAATTTGGCATAATTGTTAGATTATTTAATATTCTTACTAAGTGTGCTAGAGGATATATTGTGTAGGCTTTTTTAATATTTGCAAGTATTGAGAGTGCTTTCTGCTTTGCAAACAGATATATTATACCAATATATTCTAACTAGAAGCAATTTGTATCTCTATGTGTAAATACAGTGAATATTTGTAACAACCTCTTCCTTATAAAAATTAGTATGTATGAAAATTTTGAAAAGATCTTCATATGCACTAGTCATATCGGGTGATTTTTAGAATACCCTAAAAATTTTGGGGTTCAAATAATATACAGTATACAGTACATTAATTATATAATAATCTGCATATGTATATATTAAGTATACATCAAAATTTATTTCTTCTAAGCTGATTGAAAGTAATCTAGGACGCAAGCTTATTTTATTATGCTGTGCACCAAGTAACAAAGCAACCAGCCATGTGATATATAGATGAGTATAAATTTTTTTGTTTTTGATTTTTTTTTTTTCTGATTTTTCTAACCGATTTTTCTTCTATTATAGCTACAATTATCGACAAGGAGATGGACTTGCATTGTTTCTGGTACTTTTTTGCAGCGATTTCTATTCTTTCTTGGCATCTTTCATATTGTTTGCTCTTTAATAACTTTATTTTTTTTTTAGGTGTTCTTTGGACTTTTCAGTACTTTTCTTCGGTAATTTCTATTCAATCACAGGTATGTATACAATCAATGATTGATAATCATTTGATTTTTTTTTTCACAATGCTATTTCTTTTACTACAGTACTATCTTGGAATTAGCCTTCCGGTTTTGGGCATTGTTCTGTTTTCTTTGCGTTCTTAGGTGGGTTTCACTTGTCTTTTTGAAATTAGGCTTCCGGTTTTAAGTAG